AGTGATATTATTAATGGATTAAAATATTATTTAGAATCATATGTTTTTAAAGATATATTAAAGAATCCACCACAACCAGCATTCTCAGATGATTATTATAATAAAATTGATATTGATGCAGAATTAAATAAAATAAACACACAAACAACAAATATGTATGATTTCTATTCTCAAATTAAAAACTTTATTGTTTCAATAAGAGATTCTCATTTAAGTTTTGGTATGGATTATACTGTTTATAAACCAAATTTAATCCTAAAGGTATTAGGCAGTTTCCTTCCATTTTCAATATACATTAATGATGATAAGAAAATGTATTTACTTCAAAGAAGCACGACTGGTGGTATTTCTGTTGATGTTCCACAAGAAGTGATTAATAATGAAAATGTAGCAGTTAAAACAATTAATGGAGAAGATCCATTTGATATTATTCGGAAATTTGGAAAGAAATACATAGGATTTAACTCTCCACATGCACAATTTGAAAAAGCATGTTCAACATTTGTTTTTGCCATATTAGAAGAAATACCATTAACAAAAGAATATTTAAATACACCAATAACTATTATATGGGAAAATGGAGAAAGTGTAAGTGTTACATATTCTATATTAAAGCTACCACTATCGAGTATAACAATGAAAAGACCACTTCAGATGAAGCAACTTAAACAAAGATTTGAGCCAAGGATAACATTAGAAGAAATAAAATCCGAAAATGAAATGATTAAAAGAATGAAAAGAGAAGAAGGAATAAACCAATATTATGCTTCAAAGGATGATAGTGTATATTGTTCTTCTTCAAGTAATATTAATAAACTTGAAATTTTTTCATTTAATCCTGAAAGTAGTTATATAAAATCATATGAAGAAACAATTTCAAAATGTATTGATTTATTTGATTCTAATGATTATCCAATTCAAGTAGTATTCTCAACGAATGAAGAAGAAAATGTAATTTATTCACAGTGGATAGAAAAGATATTATCAGCATATGATGATGTTGATATGATTGTTTCTGGGAGAATATCAAATTTTACAGAAAGTGTAATGAAAAGAGAATATGGAAATATTTTAGATGACCCACATATATGTAGAGTAAGAGAAAGTTATGTAAGTCCAGAAGTACTTGGAGAGTGGTATACAAATCCAAATATTATTAAGTATGATGATGTTGAACATAAAGTTTCACAACCTTCAGTTATGAAATGGGAACCAATGAAATTAATGAGAAAACCAAGAAAACCAACAGAAATCGTAGTTTATACAGATCCTCTTTGTTATTCTGGTTGTTCAACAATAACGAAAGGATTAAAAGAATGGGGAAGTGCTATTATTGTAGGATATGGTGGTGACATATATGGTGAAGATAAAGAATTTGAAGTTGGATTAACATCAAGTAATGCTATTAATGTTAATGATATAGATGAAGATAATATTTTAAAACAATATGGATATAGTCTTAAAATAAGTCTTTTAGAAAGATACAAACATAATTATAATTACAATGAAAATATTCCTATTGAATTTCTGACAGATGTTGTTGATGAAAGAATACGTGTTAGTAGCAGTACTTATTATAGAGAAAGAATAACAGAAGAAACAAAGAAAATAGTAGAAAAGTATAAAACTAAATGTAATCAAAAGAATAAAAGACTAGTTAAAAGAGATAGTAGATGTGATAAAGAAATTAATATACAACATGGACATGGAGGATATGAATGTGGAGATAATGGAGAATGGAGTACAAAATGTGTACTAGCCTATTGTGATTCAGGATATAAATTTGATTATATCAATAATAAATGTATTGAAGATGTATGTGTTTATCCACCAAATCCAAGCAATGGAGCACAACGAATGACAATAAACATATTCCTGATAATAATTGGAATAATCACATTAATTCTCTAATTGAAGAAAGAATAGTTTAAAATATATTTTTAGTTTAATAAAATAAATAAGAATGAATAATAGTGTAAAGAAGTAAAGAGATAGTTTGAATAGCTATATGTATTTTATAAATAAAAACAAATTAACTGAGTATTGATAGAATTATCTTCTATCGCTCTGTGTTTTTAAGATTAATACAATCAATATTAACTAGCATCTCTATAAAATATTGTATTAGTAGAGAAATAATGTTCTATAATATCAAACATGTTTAATTACAATATTTTTGAAATATTTATTTTTTTTCAATTTTAATTCTTTTATTAATTTAATCTTATCTACATTCAATAACTCATTGATAGAAATTACTTTTTGAATTTGGTTTATTGCTTTTATTATATTTTATATTTACAAAATTATTCTATGTTAATCACTTCTTTCATTATTCTATTTCATTATTCCATCGTAGTTTTATTTTTTATTGTTTATTTATCATGTATTTATAGTTACTTCTTCTTATTCTGTATTTCTATATTTTTCATTAGGCACGAAAATTAGCAAAGAAAAAAAAGCATCTAAATATTTTACAAAAAAGAAAAAAGATGCAAAATAATTTGCATCCATAGAATATTCAACTTATTATATTTTGCTCTTAAAAAAATAAAAATAAATAAAAAGTATGATAAATATACAATCAATAAATATTTATGTTTATATTTTATTATCACTTGTAGTCATTTTGTATGAAATATTAATGAAGTAGATGATTTGATGAATCATATTTAATTATTTTTATTCTTTTTATTCTTTTATTTATATGTTATTTATCTATCGTATTTTTATATATTTATTTCTCTGTTTATATTATTTATATCATTGTGTTATTCTTATTATCTATATATTATTATATTATTCTTATTTTATGTTTTTTTTTAATGTTTATATTCTTTAGATTTTCTTATTGTTATTCTTTTCTATTTAGTTGTATTTGTTTATTTGTTTATTCATCTTTTATATTATTATCATTTATATCTATTTTCATTTTATATTTATTCTCTTTTGTTTTATATTATTTTTATCTTTTATCTTTTATACTTTGAATTTATTATTATATCATTGATTATCATTTCTCCTTTTATTTATCATTTATTCTTATTATTCTTTTGTTTTTTATATTCTATATCATATATTCATATCATTTTCATTTATATTTTATTAAATATTATATGTTATAATAACATAACACATATGATTGAATATATAATAAACATCATAATGAAGTTATACATATAAACAATAACATAAAAAAGAGTAAAATATTTTTCAATAATAAAATATTGTTAATCATTTTACATCATTAAATTAGACACTTTTATTTCATATTTCTAATTTTTACAATAAAAATACACTTTTTATTTCATTTTTTCTTCTTTTATTACCTCTTTTGTTTTATTACATTTTATCTTCTTTCTTTTTATATTCTCTACTTTCTACTTTTATTCTTTCTTCATCTTCATCTACTTTTTACTTTCATTTTTATTCTTTTATATCATTCATTCTCTTCATTTTCAATTATTTGCTTTTTTTCGTTGTCATTTAAAACACAGTAACATTTACATTAATGATGTATGAGAAATAAGAAATAAATGTAAATACATTATAGAATTGATAAAACAGCATATAAAAAGAAATAATGAATAAAAATAAAGAATAAATAAATATAATATAAACGTATAATAAATATAATAAAATAATTGAAAGAAGTTGTTAAGAACAAACAAAAATATAAATTGTCAGAGAATAAAATAAAGAAACAAATATATAATAGACAAACTTAAAGATTGAATAAAATAATAATAAAAATATAATTATTTCATGAAAAATATGTAGAAAAAGAATGAAAGACACCAAAAAGAAGAAATATAGAAAAGAAGAAAATATACCAATCAAACATATCAAAATATGATAAAATATTTAATTGATATAATTTCAAAAACAAAAATTAAAAAAAAAACAAAAACCCCATCTTAAAAAAAAAAATAAAAATAAAAAAAAAGAAATGGAAAGTGAAGAACATCAAAAAGGAAAAGAAAAGTTTAAAGAAGGAAAATATGAAGAAGCAATAGAACTATTTAAGAAGTGCCATAAAAAAGAGCAAAAAGCACCGTTTTATTCCAACATATCAGCATGTTATTTTAAATTAAAAGATATACCAAAAGCAATAAAATATGCAAGAAAAAGTATTGAAGAAACACCTGAATTTGAAAAAGGATATTACAGATTAATGATTGCAGGAGAAAATACCTCAGAATATAGTAGTAGTGTAATGATAGCAGAAATTAAACTAGGAAGAGAAAGAAAAGATGAAAAATATTGGAAAGAATATTATTCAGGAAATGAAGAAGTAGAAGTTAAACGAATTAATTTAGAATATGGGAAGGGAGTATTTAGTAAAAAAAAGTATCAAAAAGAGGAAATAATAATGAAAGAAATACCAATAATACAAATTAGTAAAATAGAAGATTATTATAACTGTTGTGGGTTTTGTTTAAAAACACTTTATAGTAAAGACCCTACTAATAAATATAATAAGGTATTTAATCAAATAAATAAAGATGAAGTTGTTAAATGTAAATGTGGCATGAGTTATTGTAATACCAAATGTCAAAAATTAGATTATAGTCATTCTCTTTTATGTAACAAGATAAAAGGGTTGTTTAATTATTGTAAAAAAAATAATGTTTCTCATCCTTTATGTATTTCTAAAATTTTTGCTAATATTTTAATTTCACAAAATATTGAACAATCGTTATTTCCTTTTATTGTATTTCATTCTTCTCCTTTAATTCCCTTTAACTCTGAAATTATTCCATTCTTTCTTGATATTTTTGGTTCTCTTCTTCTAAAATTTAATATTTATGGTGGTTGGACTTTTATTTATCAAATTCTTTATTCTGTACTTAAATATAATTCTTCTTCTATTCTTCCTCTTAACCCTATTCAATCTGTCTTACTTAATAATAATTCTTTACATATTGATAATACTCTTCTTTCTTCTTCTCTTATTAATCATCCTGATATTACTGCTTTTACTATTGAAGCTGAAGGATTATTTAAATATTTAAATACTCTTAATCATTCTTGTTCTCCAAATTGTTTTTTAGCAAGTACTGATGATTCTTGTGCTTTATCTTTAATTGCTTCTTGTCCAATATCTCCTGGAGATGAACTTACTATTAGTTATATTGATAATACTCTTCCCTATTCTCAACGTCAATCTCTTTTATATGATTCATATCATTTTTATTGTCATTGTCCTAAATGCAATCTTATGATTTAATTCGTTTTAACCTCAATATTCAACACTTCTTTTATTTTAAATTAGTCTTTTTTGATGCAGTTTTTTTTTTGAAATGAATTTAAATAACTATAATGAAGGTTTTTTATTCACGGAGAAAATTCAACCCATGTTATTGTTTTACATTTTCTTATTTTAACAAACCATGTTATTTGTCAACGTGAAATAATTATCTCTATAATTTTATATTATTCATCTTTTTAATTCTATCACATTGAAAATAATTAACATTCCAATTATAAAATATATATGTTTTTGGATATTGTTTATTACTTCACATAATTAAAAAGAGGGAGTAATTTGTATATTTATTACACAACCGAATAAACTCTTATCATTATATCTGGTTTTTATACTAATATTCCTTTATAATGAGTATTATTTTTTATTGTTTTGTTCTTATCTATTTCATGATTTGTTTGTTATGTTTGTAAATGTTACAAACTTATTCTAACTCCATCAACTCCATTAACCACATTATTAGTAAGCTTTTTAATCCAATATTGTTAAATATTATTCTTTCAAATTTGTTCCATTTCTTCTTATTCTTTTCGAACACACTGCTCATTTTCTGAGAATATTATTTACTCACATTCAAACACTTTTTTGTACTGTCAATTAATTCATTAATGACATTTCCATTCAATAAATTATTTACACTTCAGACAACTTAACAAACATCTCTTTCTATTCAAATTGAAGAATTACCAATTTGTTGCTTTATACATATAATAAAAATAGTCACACAGAAAAAAATAAGTCATCACAACAAATACAGAACATTTGTCATTGAATAAACAATGTGAATAACAGGAATTTGGCAATGAAAAAAAGCAAATAATTGAAAAAGAAGAGAATGAATGATATAAAAGAATAAAAAGAAAGTAAGAAGTAGATGAAGATGAAGAAAGAATAAAAGTAGAAAGGAGAGAATATAAAAAGAAAGAAGATAAAGTGTAATAAAACAAAAGAGATGATAAAAGAAGAAAAGAAAGAAAAAAAATAAAGGATGCAAATTTTATTGAAACAAATAAAAAAAGCGCAAAATTTAATGATGCAAAAATTAATGATGCAAAATATTTAGCAACATATTTTATTGATGCAAAATATTTTGAAATAAAAATAAATCATCATTTGATATTATTATATTTGATAATAAATTATATTATATATTAAATACATCATATTTCTTTATTATTTATCTTTTCTTTTTATTATTTCATATATTACATTATTATTCATTCATTCATTATTTATATTTCATTTATTAAATAAAATGAAAATGAAATTGTAAAATATCAATCAATTAAATATTCATGAATAATAATTTATTAATATTTAATAATTGAAATAATAAATAATAATGTAACAATAATGATATATTCAATATATTCTTTATTTGATTTGTTCAATATTAGATTATTCTATTTCATTATCATTTCATTGTCTTCATTATTTTATTTCATTTATTATTTCATATTCATTTATTATTTTTTAAAATCAAATAAACAATAATATTGATATTCA